GCCAGCGGCTCCGCTGGGCGCTGCCCACGACCTAATTAAACTGTTTTCAAGCTGAGGCTGCTCTGTGTGATCCATGCGGCCACCGCAGCGGGCACAGGGCTGCAGTGGCACCCAGGGGGCTCTGACACACAAACACAGTGACCGCCTGTGTGGAAGGACAGACACATGGACAAACACGCGCACGTGTGTATATATGCATATACACACACACAGACACACACACAGACACACACATATATATATATATATATACACACACACACACACACACACACACACACACACACACACACACACACACACACACACACACACACACACACACACACACACACACACACACACACACACACACACACACACACACACACACACACACACACACACACACACACACATACACACTGATGGTTTCTACCAAAGGACAGACAGATGAGCACACCCACCAACGCACTGTGACAGTCTATATGGATGGACAGACAGTAACCTTCTATGGGAAGGACAGACGGACACAGTACCTGTGTACATGGATGGACAGATGGAGATGGACATAGTCAATATGGAAGGACAGACAGATGGACACACACACACACACACACACACACACAGTGTATATGGATGGACATGGACAGGGATGGTGTATATGGATGGACAGACACAGTCAATATAGAGGGACAGTGACACGGATACACGTGCATGCACAGTGTCTATATGGAAGGACAGACACAGTGCCCCTGTATATGGATGGACAGATGGCCATGGACAGACAGACGGACACATGTGCTCGTGCACACACAGCGTCTATATGGAAGGACAGACACAGTCACTATGGAAGGACTGACAGACAAACGGACACACGTGTGCGCATACACAGAGTCTATATGGTAAGACACAGTGCTAGGCTATATGGAAGGACAGATGGACAGCCAGAAGCACACACAGTGTCAGTACATATGGACAGACAGACAAACGGACATGGACAGACGGACGGACCCATACACAGGAGGGAAGGGAAGGACAGACGGACACAGACTGACAGACACAGACAGCTGAACATGGATGGCCAGACAAACGGACATGGACAGATGGCCGGACCCCTACACAGTCAGGACGGAAGGACAGACGGACACGGACAGAGACAGACGGACCAACACGGCCACAGACAGATGGACACGGACAGACCCAGTGCTAGGCTACATGCAAGGACAGATGGACAGACAGACGCACGAACAGTGTCAGTGCATATAGACAGATAGACGGACACGGACAGACAGATGGACCCACACAGTCAGGATGAAGGACAGACACGGTGCCCGTGTATATGGACGGACATCGTCATTATGGAAGGACAGACAGACACAGACAGCCTAACACAGATGGACAGACGGACATGGACAGACAGATGGACACGTGCTCGTGCACACACAGAGTCTATATGGAAGGACAGACAGACACCGTCGATATGGAAGGACAGACGGACACAGACAGCCGAACATGGACGGACAGACAAATGGACATGGACAGACAGACGGACCCATACACAGGATGGAAGGACAGACAGACACAGACAGACCCAGTGCTAGGCTACATGGAAGGACAGATGGACAGACAGAAGAACACACAGTGTCAGTGCATATGGACAGACAGCTGGACCCACACAGTCTATATGAAAGGACAGCTGGACATGGACACACGCGGTGCCCATGTATATGGATGGACAGACGGACACAGTGCTAGGCTACATGGAAGGACAGATGGACAGCCAGAAGCACACACAGTGTCCGTACATATGGACAGACAGACAAACGGACATGGACAGACGGACGGACCCATACACAGGAGGGAAGGACAGACGGACACAGACTGACAGACACAGACAGCTGAACATGGATGGCCAGACAAACGGACATGGACAGATGGCCGGACCCCTACACAGTCAGGACGGAAGGACAGACGGACACGGACAGAGACAGACGGACCAACACAGCCACAGAAAGACGGACACGGACAGACCCAGTGCTAGGCTACATGCAAGGACAGACAGACGCACGAACAGTGTCAGTGCATATGGACAGATAGACGGACACGGACAGACAGATGGACCCACACAGTCAGGATGAAGGACAGACACGGTGCCCGTGTATATGGACGGACATCGTCATTATGGAAGGACAGACAGACACAGACAGCCTAACACAGATGGACAGACGGACATGGACAGACAGATGGACACGTGCTCGTGCACACACAGAGTCTATATGGAAGGACAGACAGACACCGTCGATATGGAAGGACAGACGGACACAGACAGCCGAACATGGACGGACAGACAAATGGACATGGACAGACAGACGGACCCATACACAGGATGGAAGGACAGACAGACACAGACAGACCCAGTGCTAGGCTACATGGAAGGACAGATGGACAGACAGAAGAACACACAGTGTCAGTGCATATGGACACAGTGCTAGGCTATATGGCCAGATGGACACAGACAACTCCATTGCCAGTGTCTATGGACAGACGGACACAGACAGACGCAGTCTGTGCCGGCCCCTCCCTATAGCCCATGGCTCCTGCGTGCGCGTGTGTCCGTCTGTCCGTACAGCCCGTCGCTGTGTCCGTCCGTGTCCCCTCTGCTCCACCAGGTCCCGTGTCGGAGCGGTGCCCCCAGCCCGGCGTTCCCGGGCGCCCTTCCCGCGGCTCCTGCGGGCAGCTCGGGGGTCCCATCGCCTCCTCCCGCGCTCAGAGCAGGAGCAGAGGGAGGATCCTCGGAGCCGCTTCCCCAGGGCAGCAGCACCAGGGAGATTCCCACCTATTTTCCTGCTGCCGGCCGTGCCCCCCGGCTCCAGGACACGAGTCCTGCACAATTCCCGCTCAGCAGCCCCCGGAGGGTCCCCCCGACCCCGCGCAGACGAGTTTCAACTTCCAGACAAACAACTTCATTTACGAGCGTGTCTCTAATTAGCTGCGGAATTAGCAAAGCAGAGTTTTCCCCCCATAGATCGGCCCAGGCCCTGAGGGAGGCTGGGGAAGGGAGAGAATCGCATTTCCAATTATTTTGTTGAATTGCTAATTTAGTTATTGTGCCTGCCGTAATTGTGATGGGTATTGGGTGTGCAATTCAATTTGTTTTAAATATTTGTGGGAAGGCTGATCAGTAATGGAGCTGACCTATTTCATGGCCCAAATTGAGAGAAGAGACTAAAACAAAAACCAGCTACAAAGCTGCAGTTTGTCTCAGTTTTTATTTTGATGTCTCTCATCCCTCTTAAGACTGTTGATGCAACAAAAGGTTTACATTAAAAGATGATGGCACTTTGATCTAGGGCTTTTGAGAGCTTACAGCTTTGGTACTTCTTTTCTTGGCATTTTAATGTGTAGATATTTTAGGCTAAAGAGTTTTAAACGCGTTTCTGGAGTTGAGCAGGGTCCCCCCTCCCTGCATCACGGCTGAGGGGGTGATCCCTGTCTCCAGCCCTCGGGGGTCGGGCTGGGGAGCACACGGGCCCCGCGGGCGGCGCTGCCACCACGAGGGGCCTCGGGCTCCCGTTTCGGGTCGGTTCCGGGGCAGGGGAAGCAGCGCCGGGGCCGGGAGCAGCTCCCCGCTCGGCCCGGGGCAGAGCAGGGCGCGGGGGGCTGCGCGCGGGACAGACTCGCACTCCCCGGGACACACCTGGAATCGGCTCTTTTTATTAAAAGAAACTGAGGTAAGTGAAACGTTGCGGCCCC